TTATAGGGATGGCAGTGTTGGTTCAGCATTGGAAGATCCACCCCCAAAAGTCATCATTTTAACAGAGGAAAGGAGAAAGCCATATGATCCTGTCACTAGTTAGAGAAAGAGTATTGGACCAAATTCTACAAGCTGTAGATTTTTGAAAGTGTGGACTCCAAAGTTATAGGATGTCATTTTTTTTTTGGTACTAGGGATGGAATTCAGGACCTTGTGCTTGCAAGGCAGGTGCAGTGCCACTGAGCTAAATCCCTGTCCCTAGAATGTCATTTTTGCTATATTTTATTGGTCAAAATAGTTCACCAGGGGTGTTGGGGGGGAAGACAGACTACTTTTTGGGTGGTGGCAAGATGACATTGCAAAAGCACATGGGGTAGGAGATACTATTTTGGATCTATAGAAACACAATCAACTGAATGCTATGAAAAAATTAAGCAAGTTAAGGGGAAGATAGAGGCGTGGGGGACACACGAAATGTGCAGTTTTCCATAGGGATTCAAGGAAGGCCTTCCTAGTGAGGCAACATTTTAGACACCAGATGGAAATGAGTGTAAACCATGGGTGCCATAGGACATCATTAGGAAGGTAGAGTACAGACACAGAAGGCTTGAGGTGGGAGAATCTGCCAGTCAGGGGATGGGGGATGTGTAGGGAGTGTATTTGACTAAATGGAATGATAGGTGGAGATTGGTAGGGCACAGTGAGAGAGGAGGTAAGAAATAGAGTGGTAGCTTTGGCAAAGACAGAATTTTCTGAGTAAGATGGGAAGCCCATTTGAAGATTTTGAGCAGCGGGATTACATAATTAAACTTAAACTTAAAAACACTCCTGTTGTGAGAGCCGTTGGCTACTGTTTTGAGAATAGATTGCAAGAGGACAAGAATGGAAATTAGGAGTCAAGTCAGTAGTCAGTAAGCTCATGCCATGTGGTAGGTGAGAGATGTGATGGGTAATGAGAAGTGTTAGAAGTTGGATGTGTTTCAAGGTGAGAGGGACAGGATTTGCTGAGGAGGTGGTGACATGGCGGTGAAAAGGAGATCAAGGATCAACTTCAAAGCTTTTGCCCTGGGCATCTAGAAAGTTGGAATTGATGTTTACTGAGATGGGAACACTGTGGTAGAAGCAGGGTGAAGGTGAGGAATATGCAGGATTTGTCATTTTGGTTATAGTGAGGTGTATGAAAGATGATATCTGGGGAAAGGTTACTAAATATTACTTCCTCATTGCAGGTGTGACGTTGGGTGCTGCAGATCTGGTCACTATGGTACGAGAACGAAAATGCATATTGTGCCACATTGCGTACAGCTCAAAAAAGGTAATAATGGAAGAGAGAGAATCTGAGGCTTTATGATAGCTTTTTAAAAGAGATATCTCATTAATAAATGGGTAAAAGCTGTTATAATGATGTCTTATTTATGCTTCTAATCCATAGTCTGATTTCACTGGTTTCCTTCCTATTATTGCTTCCTAAAGCCAGTAACTATATTACTAAATTTTACCCAAAATTTGTGCATAGTCAAAGGTAGTATACACAAATTTAGTTATTAGCTATTTATAGAGAAAATATCTTAAAATTCACGTTATTTGAGGTTATATTATCTTCTGAGATTTTAAAATCATGTACTTTGAGGTGGGGGGATTTGAGACAGGATCTCTTTATGTAGTTCAGGCTGGTCTTGAACTTTGGTGATCCTCCTTTCTCAGCCTCCTGAGTGCTGGGAACTGGTGTGAGCCACCACGCCTGGCGGAAAATCATGTACTTTTCGATTCACGAATACTCATTGAACACAGTTCTTAACATTATATACCTGCTTTCTGTTTATGGCCAGCCTTGTGAAAAGTGCAGTGCAGGAGTATTAACAGTATCCTAGATGCCCACAAGGTAGGGATGTTGCTTCATGGAAAACAAACCTATATAAGAACAAAAGTTTACCAGCCACCCAAGGCAGTGCACACCCTGTAATTCCAGCCCTCCAGGAGGCTGAGGCTGGCAGGTGGCAAGTTTGAGCCCACCCTGGGCAACTTAATGACTTAGGAAGACCCTTTCTCAAAATTTAAAAAATTTTTAAAAAGAATTGGGGATGTAGCTCACTGTAAAGGCCCTGGGTTCAATCTCCAGTGCTGAGAGGGGGAGAAAAAGTAAAAGAATTTACCTGTGCCTCAGGGAAATCGGGTACAATTTGTCTCACTCTTCACTTTCTCTTGCCTTTATTCTTTGCTTTCGAAGTAGTGCTGATGGCTTAAATACAGAGAATTTATTCTCTCTGCTTTTAAGATGTTCTGGTTGTCATTGGAAATTCAGAGAACTCGAAATCAATGGGCTGAGTTAGCCAGGGAATTCTGAGCAGAAGCAGTTAGACAGTCAGTTTAAGTGAACTGGGAAGAGATACTTTAGGTCAAAGAATAGCATGAACAAAGGCACAGAGGTGGGTTGGAGCCAACAGTGGTAGGTGTTGTTGGTAAGAAGCCTCATCTGATTAAAACAAATTTTGTCTTGGGTCTGGTGGGATTATAACTTGTAATTTAACTAAAGATGGTTGGTAAACAGTATTGAAGATGCTATGATGAAGTTATTTTTCCCCTTTCAGGATTTCTGTTAGTGATGCAAAAATGAGTTGAGACTTTAAAATCATGTTTAATAATAACCTGCTTTTTATGAAAGTAAAAGAATGTTCCTTTAGTTTTAAATTTTTAGTTTTATTTATTTATTTATTTTGGTACCAGGGATTGAACTCGGGACCTTGTGCTTGCGCAGCAGGTGTCGAAACCACTGAGCTACATCCCTGGCCCCTCAATTTGTTGATTCTTGATGTTATTTCTTATGCAGTTGTGGTTCTGTTCAGAAAGTTCTTGCCTATGGCTATGTCTTTAAGAGTTTTACCTGCTTTATCTTCCAGCAGAGTATTTCTGCTTTAACATTTAGATCTTTGATCTGTTTTGATTTTAGTTCGGTATATGTGAAAAATATGGGTTTAGATTCAACCTGCATTTGGTTAGCCAGTTTTTCCAGCATCATTTATTAAAGAGCCTATCTTTTCTCCAGCATATGTTTTTGGCCCCTTTGTCAAAGATCAGATAGCTGAATGTGCCTAGGGTTGTTTCTACATCTTCTGTTCCATTGATACATGTGTCTGTTTAAGTGCCATGCTGTCCACCTCACCCCAGAAAGAATGGCTGCTATCAAGAAATCAACCAATAACAAATGCTGGCAGGGATGTGGAGAGAAAGGAACCCTGCTCCACTGCTGGCGGGAGTGCAGACTAGTGCAACCACTGTGGAAATCCGTATGGAGATGCCTCAAAGAACTAGGACTAGAAGTCCCATTTGACCCAGCTATTCCCCTACTGGGTATCTTCCCCAAAGAGTTAAAAGAATCATACCACAGCGATATATGTGCACCTATGTTTATAGCAGCACAGTTTGTAATAGCTAAAGTTTGGAAACAGCCCAAGTGTCCATCAACTGGAAACTGGATAAAGAAGATGTGGTTTTTTAATCAAATGGAGTACTACTCAGCCATAAAGAATGAGAAACTAGAGTCATTTATAGCTAAATGGATGCATATTGAGGAGGACACACATGTGTAAATACCGAATAGTATCTCTAGTGTGAGAAACTGAAAGTGTAAATAAGGATGAAAATGATTAAAACAAATAATCAATAATTTGAAATAGGAAAAGGTCCAAAGGTGGAGGGGTGGGGGGAGGGGAAGGGGAAAGGGAAGAAAGGAAAGGAAAAATTATGAGAAAGAAAAAAAAAATGGAAGCAAAGTCTGTGTACATAGGGAAGGGTGGTGGGGGTAAAGGGCGCATATGTAATGGGGAAAAAAATAAGAACTAAGATATACATCATGTTCAGGTACAAACACCCAATGATAAATGTAAATGTATTGTATACCTAAAATGTACCAATTTATATATATATTATATATATATAAAGTGCCATGCTGTTTTTATCACTGTAGCTTTGTAATATAACTTGAAATCCAGGATTGTGATGCTCCCTGCTTTCCTCTTGTTACCCAGAATTGCTTTTGTTATTTTGGGTCTCTTCTGCCTTTATATGAATATTAGGATTATTTTCTCTAGTTCTGTGAGGAATGCTGTTGGTATTTTGATTGGGATTGTATTAAATCTGTATATCAGTTTTGGAAATATGGCTGTTTTAACTCTATTGATTCTATCTGTCCAGGAACAGTAGATATCTTTCCATTTTCTGATGTCCTCTTCAGTCTCCTTTTTCAGAATATTGTAGTTTTTGTTGTAGCAGTCTTTCATTTCCTTGTTTAGGTTAATTTCCTGTGTATTTGATTTTTCTTTGCTATTGTGAGTGGTATTGTTTTCCTAATTTCTTTCTCAGTGAGTTCATTATTGGTGTACAGGAGTGGTATTGGTTTTTGTGTGTTGATTTTGTATCCTGCTACACTACTGAATTTAGTTATTTTAAGAGTCTTTTGGTGGAATTTTCTTGGGGGTTTTCTATGTCATCTGTCATGGATTAATGAATTGAATTAATTACTTAGCTGGATTAATGTGTTGCACTTTTGTTTGGTTTTGGAATCAGGGTCATGCTGGCTTCCAGGAATGAGTTTGGGAGTATTCATTTCCTTTCAGTTTCATTAAAGAGTTTGAGGAGTATTGGTGTTGATCTTCCCTGAAGTTCTTTAGAATTCATTGGTGAATCTAAATGGTAAATGGTGAATGGTGGTCGAGTTCTGGGCTTTCCTTAGTTGGTAGGTTTTTTATTACTGCTTAAATTTCACTGCTGTCATTGGGTTGTTCAGCATTTTTATATCTGTTTTGATAATTCATATCAATCTAGAGATCTAAACATTTGTTTTGAATTTTCCAATTTATTGGAGTGGAAGTTTTGAAGTAGTTCTAATAATCTTCTGGATTTTGGTATTCATTGTGATTTCACCTTTTTCATTTCTAATTGTATTGATTTTTTTTTTCTTTTGAGACAGTGTCTCTGTATCAAGCTGGCCTTAGACTTACTATGTAGCTCAGGCTGGCCTCCAATTCACAGCAATCCTCCTGCCTCAGCCTCCCAAATGCTGGGATTACAGGCCTGCACCACCATGCTTGGCAGATTTGGGTTTTTTCTTTCCTTTGTTTTGGTGAGATTAGACATGCCTGTGTATTCTTTCAAAAATCAACTCATTCATAGGTTTTTTTTTTTTTAATCTCAGTTTTATTAGTTTCTGGTCTGATCTTTATAATTTCCTTCCATGTACTTAGCTTTGGATTTGAATGTTTTTGTTTTTCTAGGACTGTGAGGTGCATCATTAGCTTATTTATTTGAACTCTTTTTCTGATGTGAGTGAGCATTCACCGCTATAAACTTCCTTTTGAGGATGGCTTTCTTTGTGTCCTATAGATTCTGGTATGTTGTGTTGGTATTATTGTTTGATTCTACAAACTAATTTCTTTCTTGATTTTTTTCTGTGACCCACTGATTATTAAAGAGAGTGTTGTTTAATATCCATAGGTTTGCATAATTTCTGTGGTTTCCTTGGCCGTTGATTTCTAGTTTCATTGCACTATGATCTAATAATATGCATGGGGTAATTTCACTTCTGTATTTAAGCATGCTTTATGGGAAAAGATTCCATAAGCTGCTGAGGAGAATGTGGGGGTGGAATACTCTGTAGATAACTTTTAGGTCCGTTTGTTCTAATGTGTGGTTTTAATCTGAAATTGAAATTTCTTTGTTGATTTTTTTTTTTATCTAGTTGATTTATTTGTGACAGTGTGGTATTGAGGTCCTCCACTGTAATTGTGTTGATGTTTATGTGATCTTTTATGCCCAGTAGTGGATTTTTTTTTTTTTTTTTTTGTACTGGGGATCGAACTCAGGACGTTGCGCTTTCGAGGCAGGCAGCAGAATCACTGAGCTAGATCCTCAGCCTCAAGTAGTGGTTTTTTTAAGTTGAGTGTGCTGGTGTTCGGTGGATATATAATCATCTCTTCTGTTGAACTGTTCCCTTAACCGATATGTAGTGAACTTCTTTGCCTCTTCTAATTAGTTTTGGCCTGAAGTCTACTTTGTCTGAAAAATAAGGTAGGTAATCCTGCTTGTTTTCAGGTGCCTCTTGCATGGAATATTGTTTCCATACTTTGATTTTTAGTCTATGTATTTCTTTTTGAATTAAATGTGTTTCTTGTAAGTAGTGAACTATTGAGTTTTGTTTTTTGACCCACTCTGTCTTTTGATTGAGGAGTTTAGAACATTCACCATTGAGCATTTTTACATTATTTCATTGTTGCTGATACCCCCCCCCCTTTGATTGCTTACCCTGCCTGGTGTATTCAT